CTGGAGGTGCAGCTTAGTGGTAGAGCTCTTGCCTAGCATGCTGGAGGTCCTGAGTTCAGTCCTCAACACCACAAACAAAAGCAGGCTTTGTCCTCAGGGTTGGGAAGAGAAAGAAGAGCAAAGGCAAAGGGGTGAAGAGCTCGTCAGCTGCCACTCCAGGGTTAACTAGTTGAACCCATGATCCCACATTAAGCAAGCAAACATGGCCAGCACAGAATGCCACAGCCCACACTGGTTTCATTTCAGTGGATCCTTTCTTCCTTACGTTTTTTTTCTGTGTTTGGAATATTTCTATTTACAGCGAGTGTGGTTTGCTTTCATAAAAGCTTTTTGAGATGACCTGTTTGGGTTTTGGTAGTAATGGGTATTGAACTCTTTACGAGGCAGGCATTCTACTACTTGAGCCCCACTCCCAGCCTCTAAAAACCTTTTGAAAGAGAGAATCTAATGCCTCTCTTCAAAGATTTTCTGGCAAGTCAGAGCAATGTTCTAAAAGCTAAAGACAAAGGCCTGACGGGTGGGAAGAGGACAGTGGGAGAGGGCACACAGTGAGCGGGTAAGGCCCAGAGGAGAAGCAGGGCAGGCCGAGGCTGCCTTGTACCCAGCCAGCTGCACTCGAGGTCTCGTAGCATTTCTACAAGATGAGTTAAGGGGAAAGTTGGTTTGGTGTGTTGTTGTTTTTAAGCAGCCAAAAATGTACAAAATGATGCAAAATAACACGTCATTCTCCATTTCTTTTCTCACGGGCTAGAAAATTGCACTTTGTACCCAGAGAATGTTTCCTGGAAAGGTCTGGGCGTGGTGAGAGAGGTGAGGTCAGGCCACTCAGCTGTGGGAGAAACAAAACACACACATGACTCCCCCCCCCCAAAAGGAAAAAAGGAAAAACTCCAAAGCACAGCAGAAGAGGTTCTGGGAATGGAAACCACAGGTGAGTCAGCGTGGAGAGGGACATGCGAGAACAGGACACTCAGGGATGACAAGAGCTCCCATCCCAGGGCTGTGAGTGAGGAGAAGCTCCCCACCTCCGCTGAGCTGGCAGAGGGGCCTAGTTACAGGAGCCCTAACCTGAGTCCCTAATACAGCCCTGTATGACCTTCATCTCCCTTCCCAGGACTACAGAAGAAACCTCCCCCCTGCAGACACTCACACCCAACCAGCTGGCCATCACCCTGTGTAGAAAGAAGTTATGGGGCTGGGAAGGTGGCTCAGTGGTAGAGTGCTTGCCTCGCATGCATGAAGCCCTGGGTTCGGTTCCTCAGCACCACAGAAAGAGAAGAAAAAAAAAAAAAAAGAAGTTATTGGTCTGCCAGGCCACGGTTTTATTTTTTGTTGTTTTTGTTTTTGTGCTAGTGCTGGAGCTGCAACTCAGGTCCTAGATATTCTGTCATTCACAGTGAGCATGATTTGATTTGTCCTTCAGCTTTTTTGCTCAAGGTTAGTGCTCTATTACTTGAGCAGTTGCTCCACTTCAGACTTTGCTAATTAATTGGAGATGAGAATCTTGGATTTGTCTGCCCAGGCTGGCTTTGAACCATGATCCTCAGATCTCTGCCTCCCACGTAGCTAGGTTTACACACATGAGCTACCAGCACCTGGCTACAATTTAAATTTTAAGTGTTGAGTGTATGAGTTTTTTTTTTAAGATGTTGAGTGCATGGGGGCCACTTTCCTCAGAAACAGTCCAGCCCTAAATACAAGGCAGCATGAATGATGACTGGACACTCATCATGTGCCAGGCTAATTCTGTGAGGACCATCTTACTCCATCCTCAGCCGTCTCATAGGATGTTTTCTAGTATTATCCCTGCTGAGCAATGTGAAGGCCAAAGAAGTGAAGAACCTTGCTCACTGGCTAGGCATAGTAGCTCATGCCTACAATTCAAGCTGCTCAGGAGGCAGATATCTAGAGGAAAGAGGTTCAAAGCCAGTCTGGGGAAAAGGCAAGTGAAATCCCATCTAGACCATTAAGCTGGGCATAGTGGCACATGCTTGTGATTCCAGTTCTTCCAGTTCTGTGCAAAACAGATATGAGGATGGAGCATAAAAAATAATTAAAGAGGGGCTGGGAAGATGACTCAGTGGTAGAGTGCTTGTCTTCCATGCCTGAGGCCCTCAGCACCACATAAGCATAAAGAAAAAAGCCGGAAGTGGCGCTGTGGCTCAAGTGGTAGAGCGCTAGCCTTGAGCTGAAGAGCTGAGGGACAGTGCCCAGGCCCAGAGTTCAGGCCCTACAACCGGACCAAAATAATAATAATAATAATAATTAAAGAGGTGGGGGTGGGGGGAGAGATGGGAAGGGATGAAAGGGGAAACAAAGGAGGAGGCAACAATGCTTGATAAGAAATGTACTCATTATCTTGCCCATGTAATTGTAACCCCTCTGTACAGTATTTTCACAATAAAATTTTTTTAAAAAAATAGAGAAAATCTCAAGTGATAGAGTGCTTGTATACCAAATGAGAATCTCTGAGTTCAGCCCCCAATGTCACACATCAAAAAAAGGCACAGGGGCCTCACACCTATAATTATAGCTACTCAGGAAGCTGAGGTCTCAGAATTAAGGTTCAAAACCAGCCTGGGAAGACAAACCTGAAAGACTGTTATCCCCAATGAACCACCAAAGATCCAGAAATGGAGCTAAGGCCCACGTGATAAGAGCACAAGTCTTGAGCAAAAAGGCTAGGCGACAGTGTCCAGGTCCTGAACCAAGCCCCAGTACTGGCACCAAAACAAAAGCAAAACAAAACCTTGCTCATCGTTAGTCAGTGGTAAATGAAGGACCTAAGGCAAGTTGACTCTGGTATTTCATAGTTTTGAAAGTCTAAGTGGATTATCACACCCTAGGGTCTAGGGATTTTAGAAAGGGCTAGATACCCAGGCACAACTCAGCCAAATCCTAGCTGGAGCTGAGTAGCATCTCACCAAAGGATTGCTTTCCTCCAGAATGTCAGGGCTGTGGCTGGGAGTGAGGTGACCATGCAGGTCCTGCTTTCCAAATGCCAGTGGGACCCTCATAGGCTTTAAGTGCAAAACCCACAGTATCCACAGCTCCCATAAAGCCACAGCCCCACAATGGGAAAGAAAGAAGTGGAGAGGAGAGGAGAGGGTGACGATAGCTCCGCCACTGGCTCCAGGCATGATCTGCAAGCTGCATGGCACCATCAGCACATCTGGAAGGTTTAACAGCAGTGGCACTGTAGTACATTCTGGAAAGTGATGGCCCTGTTGGGGCCAATAACTGAACTCTTGGAACTTCTACAACCAACCAGGGCTCTACAATCTCCTAGAGATCTATGGCCTCAGCCATACTGGGGACCTACAGTTGTCCCCATCTCCATCCAGAACCATCCCAGACTTACTCTCTCTTGCTGGGCGTCTCCAAGTCCTGGGTGAAGGAGGGGAGAGGTAGATCTCCTGCCCAAGAGACGGGCCCCCTCCAGGTACAAGCCTTAGCCCAGTGCCCTACATGCTAGACAGTATCAGACACTGGCAACAGCTCCAATGCCTTCACTGAGTGCTCCCTCTGAGTGATTCCCGCAGTTCAGTGCATGAGTGTGGGAGGAGGAGGAAGATAGAGGCCTCAAGTCTACCCTCCTCTGGCTCCCCAGTGAGGTAAGGATGGCAGCCACAATCACAGAAAATAATAAGCATCCAATTCTCAGCACCTTTGAGTCTGTTTTCAGAGTTCTGGTGGTCTGGATCTCCCTGGTATATTGGGTGGAATGAGGGAGATGGGCGGTTAGGACACCCTCACACTCCAAGCAGGGGACTGGCTGCACACTATGGCTACATACTCTCTCTTCTTGCTCTATTATTTTCCCTTTTAGTAGTTAACAGATATGTACTTACTTATGGAAGCCATATGAAAGTCTGCTGAGCTATAATGAGCCATGTGCATACCCTGTTATTCTAATTGTTCTGAATGAGGCCCTGCTGATCCTGCAGCCTGAGCTGCCCAGAGACAGGGATAGCAAATAGGTAGAGGGGAGCCAAGGGAGGCTGGAATCAGGATGGTGCTGACTTGGGAGGCTGGGGAAGGCCTCATGGCAGCAGCGCCCTGATGGTAGAGGAAGAAGAGAGGTTGCTGAGAATATCCCAGGTCCAAGCTCTTGAGCTTTTCAGACCTAGCTGTACAGTCAAACCTTCACCTCCATCACCACCTATTATTGTCTTAGGAATTAATTACCTGATTGCTCCAGGCAGAGTGCAGCTGCTGGAAGAAGGCCCTGGGCGATGTGGAAGCCTGCAGTGCAAAGGAAGCATGTTTGATTTGGAGTGACAGGAATCCTGAGAAAACAAGGTTGCCGATCGAACACTTACCAGGCTCTGGCTGCCTCTGAAGTGACTGGTCCTCTGACAGAGGCTGTAGCTATGGTGAGTTACTCAACAGGGGAAAAGGAAGCAATGGAACTACTTCAAAAGGGCCTTAGTGTGCAGGACCCTGTGGGGCCAATCTAATCTGATTTTCTTAGACAATTTATATTTTAAAAAATCAATCAAATTGTCTAAAAATGAAATGAAAGAATATGAGGGAAAAAAGTCAATGTGTGGTTGCAAACAAAAGATGTTTCTCATGAGACAGCATCAGAAAAGAAATAGAAAAAAAACTCAGAAATATCCCAAGATGCTTCTAATGTTCTTCTGAGTTTTACTTTTTTTTTCTATTCATTTATATCAGGTGCTGCTTTGCCTTGAGCTATGCAAAATGTCTTCCAATGTTACTTCTGTAGATATAAGAGGGGATTTTGTGCAATCAAGTTTGATTAAGAATGGATAACAGTGGGCTGGGAAGGTGGCTCAGCGGCAGAGCGCTTACCTTGCAATGCCCTGGGTTCGATTCCTCAGCACCACATAAGCAAAAAGAAAAAAGCCAGAAGTGGTGCTGTGGCTCAAGTGGTAGAGCGCTAGCCTTGAGCTGAAGAGCTGAGGGACAGCGCCCAGGCCCAGAGTTCAGGCCCCACAACTGGACCAAAAAAAAAAAAAAAGAATGGATAACAGGTGCTCACTTCGGCAGCACATATACTGAAATTGGAACAATACAGAGAATATTAGGATGACCCATGCACAAGGACAACATGCAAATTCATGAAGTGTTCTGCATTTTTGAAATATGGTAGATTCAGGAAAGAACTCAGTGCAATTCCGTAGAAAGGCTAAATCTAAGGTCAGTAAGTAACCACTAGGAAACAGGTACTTGCAAGGGAGGGTAGGCCCAAGGGGAGAGAGGGATAGGTGAGTGAAGAGAAGCAGGAGAATGCAGTTAATGCATATCCTACAAAACTAAGAAAAATGAGGGAAGGGGAGGGTTGGGAGAGATGGGTGAGAATGTTGAAAGTGGTGACATTGATCAAGATGAACTATATTCATTAACTGCTTTGTTGAATGGCAACTCCTTTGTACAACTACCTAAAGATAATTTTAAAAATATTTTTAAAAAGAGGACAATAACTAGGTACAATGGCTCACACCTGTAATCCCAGCTACTCAGGAGTCAGAGATCAGGAGGATCTTATTCCAGGCCAACCTGGAACACATCTCAACAAGTAAGCCATGGATGGTGACATTTGTCTATCATTCCAGCTATGCAGGAAGTATAAACAGGAGAATTGTGGTCCAGACCAACCCAAATATAAGCATAAGATTCTATTTTAAAAATAACTGAGAGCCAGGCACTGGTGGCTCACACCTGTAATCCTAGCTACTCAGGAGGCTGAGATTTGGGGACCATGGTTCAAAGCCAGCCCAGGCAGGAAAGTCCATGAGACTCTTATCTCCAATAAACCACCAGAAAACAGGAAGTGGCACTGTGGCTCAAGTGGTAGCATGCTAGCCTTGAGCCGAAGAGCTGAGGGACAACACCCAGGCCCAGAGTTCAAGCCCCACAACCGACAAAAATAACAACAACAATAATAATAATAACTGAGCCAGGCACTGGTGGCTTACAACTGTAATCCTAGCTACTCAGAAGGCTGAGATCTGAGGATCATGGTTCAAATCCAGCCCAGGAAGGAAAGTCCATGAGACTCTTATCTCCAATTAACCACCAGAAAACCAGAAGTGGCGCTGTGGCTCAAGTGATAGAGCACTTGAGCTGAAGAGCTCAGGGACAGCGCCCAAGTCCAGAGTTTAAGCCCCACAACTGACAACAACAACAACAAAAAAAAACTGCTGCAGTGGGTGCCAGTAGTTCATACCTTTAATCCTAGTTATTCAGGAGACTGAATCTGAGGATTGGGTTTTGAAGCTAGCTAAGCCTGGCAAAAAGTCTGAATCGCTATCTCCAGATAACCAGTAAAGTGCCAGCCTAGAGGCATGGCTCAAGTGGAAGAGCATCAGCTATAAGCAAAAAAGTTGAGCACAAGTATGAGGGCTAGCGTTCAAACTCTGGTACTAGGCCCCTCCCCCCATACACTAATAATAATAACAATAACAATAATAATAATAATAACTAAAGCAAAAGGGTTGTAGGCATGATTCAGTTCATACAGAGCCTGCTTAGTAAGTGTAAAACCCTGAATCCAAATCCCACTACTACAAAAAAATGGACTATAATGTTGTATCATATAAGCAGAGTCCTAGAAGAGTAGCTGCCAGAGGCTGGGGAGGCCAGAAATAGGGAGATGGATACCATTACAGGGGTGCAACTGAATGGCTGGATACAATTAACTGTGTGCTTCAAAACAGCTGGCAGAGAGAACTTCAAGTGTTTGTTTGTTTGTTTGTTTGTTTGTTTTGGGTCCAGTCGTGGGGCCTGAACTCTGGGCCTGGGCGCTGTCCCTCAGCTCTTCAGCTCAAGGCTAGCGCTCTACCACTTGAGCCACAGCACCACTTCCAGCTTTTTTCTTTTTGCTTATGTGGTGCTGAGGAATCAAACCCAAGGCCTCAGGCATGCAAGGCAAGCACTCTACCACTGAGCCTCCTTCCCAGCCCCCGAACTTCAAGTGTTTTTAACAGGAAGAAAATGACAGCTATGCCAATTTCCCTGATCTGATCAGGTATGGAAATATCACACTGCATCCTATAAACATGCCCTTGTTAATGTCTGTTTTCAAAATGCACAAAGAAGAAACTTTTCATTTAAAAAAAATGACAAAGTTAGGCACCAGTGTCTCAGTCCTGTAATCCTAACTACTAAAGAGGATGCAGTTTGAAGCCAGCTTGCGCAGAAAAATGTCTTCTCCAAAGTAGCCAACAAAACAGCTGGACTGGAGGCATGACTTAGAGGACAGTGTGCCAGCCAAGCAGGCCAGCTGAGTGAGAATATGTCAGGCCACAATACTGACACAGAAAAGAATAACTGACAATAAGAGAGCACATGGTGATGAAATGACCAAATGGCATTGGTACAAATCAGGAGATGTAGCTGAACTCTCAGGACTGGAGGGCGATGGGAAGAGGCAGGGACTAGAGGCCTAAAGTGCACTCCTCAGCTCGGATTTAATGGGAGTTTTAGAGTCAGATTTTCAAGTAGGATTAGAGGCTTTTGTTTTCTGAAGCTTCTCTAAGGGCAAAGATAGAGCATTCTTTATGAATTATATAATAAAGCAGGTTTTTGAGACTATCTGGAGTTTCTGGGGGAACAGTAAAAGTACATGATCCAGAATCTGTTGAGGCACGAGAAGCAGGGCTTGCTTTTTAATTAAATTATTTTCTTGTTGTTATAAAGGTGATGTACAGAGAGGTTACAGTTACATAAGCCAGGTAGTGAGTACATTTCTTCCCTCGCTCTCTCCCAGCTTTTCCCTTCCATCCCTGCCCACAGGTTGTATAGTTATTTTCAACACAGTGTCCAGGGAGTACCATTGCTGCAAAGTCTGGCTTTCTAAGAGAAAAAAAAGTTAAATGTTTTTCTCTAATCTTGGACTTTTACTCTCAACACAATAGTTTGTTTACACAACCTTCCAGAACCACATATTTGCATACATTGACAATAAAAAACTGCTACACATTTCATTCCTACATATCTCATTCCACGTCTTACACCCTAACAATTTGTCATAGACATTTTCGACTGAGCTTTTGTACATGGTACACCAAGCCATGTCAACCGTTCCTTACACATTCTGGACACTTCCCTGGGTCACTCAGCACCCTAGGAGACAATCACAATGTACAGGTGACAGGATGGGAGGGATAGCATTGAAGACTAGAATTAAGTTTCAGTTCAGAAATGACCTAGATCAGGGCTGGGAAGGTGGCTCAGTGGTAGAGCACTTGCCTTGCATGCCTGAGGCCCTGGGTTCGATTCCTCAGCACCACATAAGCAAAAAAAAAAAAAAAAAAAAAAGAAAGAAAGAAAGAAAGAAAGAAAGAAAGAAAGAAAGAAAGAAAGAAAGAAAGAAAGAAAGAAAGAAAGAAAAGAAGAAAGATGAATGGATCAAGAAAATGTGGTATATATACACAATGGAATTCTATGCCTCCATCAGAAAGAATGACATTGCCCCATTTGTTAGGAAATGGAAAAACTTGGAAAAAATTATATTAAGTGAAGTAAGCCAGGCCCAAAGAAACGTAGGTCCCATGGTTTCCCTTATTTGTAATATCTAGTATAGGTATGAGTCAAGCGGAAAAGGTCAGATAATGTGATGTCAGGAAAATGAACCCTTAGATGTGTATTTTAATGTTTTTTTCTTTCATGCATGTGTTTCTAACACATTTATAAGATTATCTCTTTGTTGCTTTGTATGTCCCTCCCCCACAGTATAACCCTTGCTTTTACTATATTTGATGTCAGTATAACTTGTGGAGGAGATGGGGAAAAACCAGTTGTTTAAGGATACAGGTGGACCTGTTGCAACAATGAGAAGTACAAGTTGTCATGTCCAAAACGAACTTTACAATGTTGGTGGGGGGGGGGGGGGGGGGCTGGGGGGAGGGAGGAAGGAGAAGGATTGGGATTAGGGGGGGAGGGGGAAGGCTGGGAAGGGATGTGAAGGATAAACAAAGGAGGAGGCTGCAATGCTTGGTAAGAAATGTACACATTATCCTGCCCATGTAACTGTAACTCCTCTGTACAGTATGTTCACAAATAAAATTAAATTAAAAAAAAAAAAAAAAAAAAAAAAAAAAAAAAAAAAAAAAAAAAAAAAAAAAAAAAAGAAAGAAAAGAAGAAAAAATAGGGGCTGGGAAGGTGGCTCAGTGGTAGAGCGCTTGCCTTGCATGCATGAGGCCCTGGGTTCGATTCCTCAGCACCACATAAGCAGGGGGGAAAAAAAGCTGGAAGTGGCATTGTGGCTCAAGTGGTAGAGCGCTAGCCTTGAGCTGAAGAGCTGAGGGACAGCGCCCAGGCCCAGAGTTCAGGCCCACGACCGGACCCAAAAAAAAAAAAATGACCTAGACCAGGTTGGGGACCAAGTCACCCAGTGCCCCTTTTCCCAGCCAGATTCCCTCTGACTCCTTTGTAGGTTGGGTTAAAGGCAGATACTGCCTTTCAGTTCTGTATTGCCCCTTTCAGTTAGTTAAAGCTCCCTGTTCCCTGGGGAGAAGCTGGATGGGCCCATCTGAGCACGTGATTGCTAAGAGTACCTGACCCGCACCCATGGAACTCTCCCATCTGGCAGGCATCTCCCCGCATCCACAACTCTTTCAGAATGCCCTTGGCCAGACCCCTTACCCCAATAGGAACACAGAACAAGATTTGGTGATGAGTCCACCCATAAGTATTTTATTAGAAGACTGATTCCAACTCACAAAATTTAGAATCTATTGAGGCAGGAGAGGCAGGCCTGGCTTTCTAAGGCCACTCACTATGTATGACCTAAGGGAGTCACACTACCACTTCCCCACACACAAAATAGTTCACCCACTGGTTTCGAACACCCATTGTGGGCATGAGGGCCTGTGCTCCCCTCTTTCTCCTAGCCATTCCCCCAGGAGTCCTGTAGGGTCTCATCTACCACTGAAAAGCTACCAAACTGGGGGTCACCAGACAACTTGAAAAGGAGGTTGCCCAAGCTTATACAGAACCCCAAATCCACACCCTGCCAATCACCTGGTCCGAGGCTGCCTGCCTCCTTCTGCCTGGTCAAAACCAAAGCTACAGATACTTTGTTCTCCATCCAGGCCTCAACCAGACCTTCCCCTGAAAGCCTGCACACCATCTCA